TTCAAAATTTGCTTTTTTTGAAATTTATAACTAAAATATCATTATTCCATATTTCCATATGCAGCAAAACATTGAACCTAACAGAGCAATGACCACTTCCACCCAGATGTTCCCCAAATTCCACCCTCTCAATCATTTCTGTATTTGATGTTAACAGTAAGTCTAAAATAGCATTGTTTCTACTTGGTTCTTTGACTAACTGGTGAAGAAAGCCAACCTCAACAGTTTCCAAAAACCTTTATCCTTCATGGTTTGTTTCTAGAATTTCCCAATCTATATATACCTGAAATTAAAATCATCCATAATTATGACTTCATTAACAGCTAAAATCTTAATCTCTTTGTAAAATTTCTCACTAATATGGATTAAATATTTTGAATTTTGTTACTTCTCTTTAAAATTACTATACAAATTAGAAAAATGCGATCATATATATATTGTATAGGACAATGCTCAGAATTCATAATAATATGTTATAGAATTATTGGTCATGACTAAAGAACAAATTTATTTTTTAAGTTATTATATGGCTGGTTACAAAGACTGGTTTTGATTCTTAAATTATGTAAAATTTTATATCTTTAGCAATTCATTACTTGTCATAATTTGTTTTCAACAATTTGTACATAACTTTAATATCAGAGTGTAGGTATTGTTAAAACTGTTACTTAGATACTTGTCTTAAAAATATAATGTTTTACAGAGAAACAAATTTGCATTATTCAGTACATCGTTGCTCAATTAAGGCTACAGTAAAAGGGACAAAAGTTTACAATTGCAGAAAAGTATTGAACATAAAGACCAGTCTGTGTATATATTTTTACATACTTAATTTTATTATACAGGTAACTTGCGAACCCCATGACAGTGTGTGTCACATTCTTGTTTAAAGTCAGCAAAACTATTGTTTATTTCAAGCTAACTGTTAAGACCTTGATGTAAGGTTATCATGATCTGATTGTTAAACTGCTTCCTTTAAACCTATCCAGTATCATAATATTAAGTGTTGACAAAATATTCGACAGAATATTTAGATGTCATTAATGGTGAACATGGGTGTTAGAATAATTTCTGCATACACTATTATTACCTTGCAGTCTTAAGTGAAACTGATGTCATGATCATGTGTATATAATTTGTCATGTGTGCATTTATATTTGAATGTGCCTTTTAAACAAAAATTCAGTATGACTTAAAGCAGACTTAAGCTTCCAGGAAATATTACATCTTCAATTCCATAATTTGTGATGATAATTATGCCTAGTATTAAAATGAACATAAAAATTGAACAGTGCTTGAAAGTGTTTTTTTTTTAATGGTATTTTAAACTTTGGTAATCACACTGAAATGTGTGCTGGATTGTACTGCAGCAAGCAACTAAAAAAGGCTTATTGATAGGTTATTTGTAGTTTGGATTTTCCGTCATGTGCTTGCAGTTAACTTAATTTTTTTTTCTATTTTACTATTTATAATAATTCCTGGATTATCAACTGGTAAAAAGAATGCAGTGGTCCTTGAGGAAAACTGACTAAACATTAATATCTATTATTTTTTTGCCAGGTCAAGTAGCTATCACTAATTTGAGCTCTATTATTTTACATTGACATACATGTATTTTAACTTATTAGTCAAGTAATATAAGTTATTTTCATGTACTTTTTTTTTTTCAGGTGAAAGTATTTCACCTTTGATATGAGCGAAGAGCACCAAGGTAAGAAATTTCTCAATACTTGTACAGTTTTGTTGGCTTATGTTTTTTGATTATTTAACCCTTTTGCAACAGGAACCCCTTTAAACAATTTTCTGTGGAAGTCACTGTTTTACATTGAAAATTTAATTAAATGCCTTTACTATCAATGTATTTGAGTGAAATTAATATTATAATGTATGTTATGATTTAAAGTTTTATTTTATCCAAGTTTTAAGTCCTTTATTTCAAAATATACCTATAAAAACTACTTAAGATGTATAATCGCCTTACCAACGAGCTATGAAAATTCTCCACTTTGGCTCATTGTATCTTCAATAATATGATGGTAGATGAGCAGAGGTACATCGAGGCAATAAGATGCTTACATAACATTTGACCCATTCATTTCAAAGTTCTCTGAATGAATACAATTGAAACAAGTAATAAATTTTTTCAACCCTTGAAAGCTGCTACACCCACCTCCAAGAGATTTGTTTGAGCTTTATAGCCTACATGTAGATGTAACCTACACATGTATAGCCATTACAAAGAACTTGTTTTACACTATAAACTAACAATATTTATTAGGAGATTGGTGTGCTGTTGTCATCACAAAAGTACATGTAACTCACTGTAGAATTTTTTCTATTTGATTGACTATAGCACTTACGGTTGTTTCTTACCTAAATATGATATAGTTAGAGGTATAATTTAAATTGTATTTAGGTGTTACTTTTGTATTTTAGTTGTTTCTTACCTAAATATGATATAGTTAGAGGTATAATTTAAATTGTATTTAGGTGTTACTTTTGTATTTTAGTTGTTTCTTACCTAAATATGATATAGTTAGAGGTATAATTTAAATTGTATTTAGGTGTTACTTTTGTATTTTAGTTATTTATGTATTAGTTATGTTTTAAAATGCATAATTAAAAGGTTTCAACATTTTTTTTTATATATACATGATACTTTGCATCCATTCTCTATGCTTACGATATTACGCAATGAACAAAAGGTTTGCTGAAGGGTTGTGCATGTCTCCCAAAGACACTGTAATATGCCTCAATGGCACTGCTGAAGGGTTGTGCATGTCTCCCAAAGAGACTGTAATATGCCTCAATGGCACTGTTGAAGTGTTGCGCATGTCTCCCAAAGAGACTGTAATATGCCTCAATGGCACTGTTGAAGGGTTGTGCATTTCTCCCAAAAGAGACTGTAATATGCCTCAAGTGGCACTGTTGAAGGGTTGCGCGTGTCTCCCAAAGAGACTGTAATATACCTCAATGGCACTGTTGAAGGGTTGTGCATGTCTCCCAAAGAGACTGTAATATGGCCCAATGGCACTGTTGACTTGTGATGAGATGAATAATAACTGGCAATGTATAAGAAAGGAAAATAAAACATAAAATATTAACTAAATGTGAAAAGGAAAAGACCTGAAATTACAAGTTTAACAAAAGGAAAATCTTTAAAGATATTCTACAAAAAAAGTAAAAAGTCTGTTTCCTATTTTTTAATTATTTCATTGCATTGTATGTTGATGATAATAGCTAGAGTTAGTGATATGGTAGAGAAAATGAAAAATAAAGTATAAACTAAAGAAACCTTTGATATCCTTTTAGGAGGTTCTAGAGATTATGCAAATGAAATATGAAAACTATAAGAAGAAAAGTAATTTTGTACTTAAAATTAAAATCACCTTGCACTGAATTTGTTAATAGTTTAAGTACAAGTAACTAGAGTAGAAAAATAACATATTTTTAGTAAAAACATCATTCTTTGTGTACAAAATGCTTATGATCTTTTACAAAATCTTGACAGTTTTTGAGAGGATATGTTAAGAAATCTCAGAGTTACCACATGTCTTGTTGTACCAGTGAAATTTGTGACTCTATTTCTGCAAATTGCACAAGCTCACCACAAAAGGGTTAAATAAGTTCAGAGCTAAATTGAAAATACATTATAAAAACTGTTAAAAGTTTTATTATGAACATTAAAGGGGGAGAAAAATTTATGTATAATCTATTCTAAGGAATTATTGTGTTCTTTGGTTAAAAAATTTAAAATAACTCTTAATTTTTAATAGTATTTTACAGACTGTTTAGTTATCCTCAAATGAAGGTTTTAAATTTTAAATACACAGTTTCTTTAATTCTATGGTCTTCATTGTTTGCACATAAACAATTTCAAAGTTCTTTTCCAGTGTATTTCCTTTACACTCCTGATCATGTTTGTAAATTCTTGAGTTGTTATCTTAGGTTGGCTGTACATGTTCTTGTATACATTATTCGAAACAGCAAATAGTTGAACCAATATAGTATCACCCACAGCGAGAACACAAAACGATAAACAGCATGAGAATGTTGCAATCTACTAACCCATTCTTTGAATTTAAAAACAATTCAGCCCTAAGTTTTGATTTAAAAACAACTTGAATGGAAATTTGTGGAAAATTTGAACTTGTAATATTCTTAATCTTTTTTCCTTAATTCAAAACTACTTTTATTTGTACACACCAAATTAACATATAGAATATGTTTGGGTCCATCAAAGTTAACCTTTATAGAGGTGGTAACTCCATGTAAAATTTTTTTAACCACTTTATTAATCAAGGTTAGATTTCATCCATTTTTCAGTAGAACATTTGTATTTTTTTTAATTCTTGTTGAGAATAATGAAATTTATTCACAATAAGCTCTGTAAACTAGGATGGTAATTAAATTTATTTTGTAGCTATAGGGGTGTAAAGCTACTTACATAACTATATAATCTTGTATATGATGGTTTATGATAAGTGCCTACATCCATATGTGTGACACAATAATTAATTTCTAAATCTAGAAATTGAAATCTTGAATTATTTCCTTCCTCAACAGTAAATTTTATACATGGAGTGTGGGTTATTCAAACAGTTTAAAAATTGTTTCACATGTTCTATTTTCTTAAAAATAACAAATTTTTCATCCACATATCAATTATACTTAACTGGTTTGAAGGTCTTAAGACAATTATTCAGCACTGTCTTTCGTAATGAACCAATAAAAAAATTAGCCAACCTAGGTCCTAATTTCAAAACTATTTTTTGCCATGTATTCACTTTTAACATATTTTTCAAGAAAATTATTCAAAAAATCAGTTAGTTTATGGTTATGCTTATCAATGTTAGAAATTATTGGTCTATTCAGACACTAATTTTTATGAATTTTAGGTAAACCATACAATGGGAACCAGATGGTCTAATGTCTTTGTAGGTTTTATTCACTGTCACATTATTTTTTTTTATATTAAAAGATGCCTTTGTAACTGACCTTCTCTTTTCTTGGTAGGATCAAAATTTATTTTCTTAACTTTTGTATCTTCAGATGAAACACCTAACATCTATTTACATAATCTTGCTTATTAAGGAGAACAATCACATTATCTTTGTCTGATTTCAAAACCACTAAATCTTTTTTCCCATAGTTGTTTAAGGGCTTTTAATTCTTCTTTAGAAATATTTAATTCCATTTTACATGCATGAAGATCAGGTATCACTAGACCAGATATTACATTGCTTATTCTATCAAAAGTTATTTTTGTTCTTTCATAGATAAGCTTGTTCTTCAATAACTTAAATAATTATAGTTAGGCAAACAATGAGTTATAAGCATAAGGAAAAGTTTTATTGATGGTGGAACATACTACATGTTTTGACACAACATTGGTCTGTCTTTATACCTAAAGAAGACGAAAATATCTAAATAACAAGTAACTCATATTTTTTTGCTATTCTTAATAAAATTGACAAACATGATAAAATAATTCTAAACCAAGTATAGAGTTTACTTTTTTAGCAAGCAGTTTTAAACTATGTATCCAATATCATTGATTGCCTTGGCTGTGTTTTTATATATATATATACAACCAAACTGTTTTATGTTTAGATATTTATATACCTCTGTATTATACAAATAAAGTGCTGTCATTTTTTATATCTTCTTTATATTTTCAGAACTGAATTCAGCATACACTACTGTTTCAGTGCTTCCTGTACAGGAAACAACTGAGGAAGATGGAAGTAGGTTTCATTTAGGTCTTTGTAGTTAATTCTGTAAATTAATATTCATCTTCTGTTAATCGTAAGAGTATTTATATACATATGAAATTTGTAAATTTTTATATATATATATAATCCTTAAGTTTCTCCTCTCTATTTCCTTTTATCAGTTTCATGACTTCAAAGGTCATCTTCAGGATGTAATTTTAAAGATGATCTATAATGTAAACATTTAAATACCAAAATATATTTAATGCTGTTGTAATGAGCACATCATTCATCCCTGGCCCTCTCGACAAAACTTATTAATTACTGCTACAAACATCAAAGTTTGACTCATGTCTGCTGCTAATTTTGGTGGTCTCAACAAAAGTCCAAATGAGCTGTGTAGCTTACTGAAAAGCTGAGCACATGACTTAACTTTTGTACATTCAAAGGCTTGTAGTACAACCTGTGTTCTACAATGAGCTGCAGCTTTTTTTCTCTAGTTCCCAATATCATAACAGATTGTATTGTTAGAAACTTCCATTTTTCAGAAACTGGTAACTTGTTACAGAACTCTGTAAAGTGGAAATGTGTAGAAAGTCCTTGCATTTTTTAAAAATGGACATGATAAACAATCACATATTTATTCATGATGACGAGGAACCCACTTGAAGTAAATATATATGTATTTCTAGTAGAGATGGCGGATATGGGTATTAAAAAAATGTTTATTTAAGAACACAAAACAAGTTACAATGTTTCAGACTCCTTCAGTCATCATCAGGTTAAAAATGAGATTTGAAAAAGTGATCATTATTGATCGTATGTTATAGAGATGACAGTAATAACAGGTGTAAGATTATAGGGGGCATTGTATATATTAATCTATCATAGATAGTAGTTAACATTAAGGAATAATTAGTGTAAGTATAAAAGTGTTCCTTGGAGATGGTTCAATGTGGGTTCAGGTTCCTGTATTAGAAGAGCTTCTTTAGTTTTTCATTTGTTTACTTTGATTCTTTGCTTAATATGTTAGTGTTTTCTATGGTTAATTGAGATAAAATGTTAAAAGTCATGGGAGGGTTATTTTTTTGTGTTCATTATATCTAGTTTCCATTTTTCGTCTTGTTTCTCCAATACAAAAATCATGGCAGTTGTTGTATTGTATTTTATAAATGATGTTAGTATTGTGCTTGTCAGAATAGCTTTTACATAGTATAGATATTAATTTTGTACGTGATTTTTGAATTAATTTAGTGTATGTAAACCATGTTGCTTAGATGTGCCAGTTGTTATATGTTAAGATAACCTTGGTCAGTCACACTAGGTTATTTTATGTGCTGATAATTTTCTAAGTATTGTACTTCATGATAGGTTAGATCAAGTATTCTTTCATAAACATTTATTTTGTTTACTGTTTAATTTAACAGTTTCTTTCTATGATACTGTAATCTGAAGTAAGCATGTTCCGAAGTTTTTACAACCAGATAACAAGCTAAAGTGAATGTTAGGTGGAATTATGGAGAAAAGTTGAAATATAAGTGTGTTATGTGAACATGTACAAATATCTAAAATCTGGAATTTTGGTTAGAAGGTAAGATTTAAACATTTGGAAAGAATGTGGCTGCTCTGTTTGTGTTAGCTCATTAATTTCATCTTTGCCAATTGTCGAAATAAATTACTTTTACTTATATATTTCTTAATAGTATAAATATATACTATGTTGTTGGGCTTAGGACTCTTCTACAGTAGGTTTATATGACTTGTTAGTGATAAATTTAACGAAGAATAAACAATGCACACTTTACTTGTTTTTAAATAATATCTGTCTATATATATTTGGAATAAGTTAAACATGTGTGCAACAAAGTCTTCACACTGTACAGATTACAGGCATATCATAAACACTATTTATATATAGTTCTCTTTTTTTCTTGTCAAAAGTCCACTTAGGCCTATTCACTTACTTTAGAATATCAGTTTGGCCTTCTTTCTTCTGAAGATCCTCTGTTCCTTTTGTCAAAGTGTACCCAGGCTGATTCAATTACTTTAGAACCATGCTTTGACGGAATAAAATTATCTATCTTATCTTTTTTTATACTGTTAGTTTCACTCTAACATAACACCTTTATGGTACTTAACTTCACACAACTATATTCGCTTTTGCTATTACCTGTCTATTGCTTCCCACTCGTCTCATACTATTTATATTTTTATTATATAGTCATTTGGCCACTTTCTATATTCTTGACACCAATCAGTTATTAACAGAACCTACAATCATCTGCTTTTAACTCTTATTATAACAAAACATAAAACTAATAAAAATATTCACTCACAAATATAAATTAATCACTAATATTTAAACTAAACAGTCTTTTATATTACGACAAAACAACTAGATTAGTTTTTGGAAATTATGCATGCAAAACTGACTTTGTTTGTTTTCAAACAAGATGAATTATGTTATACAAGATAAATTCTTTGATCTTTTTTATCATTTATTTTTCATTAAATTTTATCTAGTTTGATACAAGTTTTAAATTGACTTGAAGTTCATTCTTTGTTAACTGAATTTTTAGGTCGACTTACTGTTTGGAGTCCTTCAATGACAAAACTTTTGATCACATTGCGGCGTGCTAATGACCGATTGTTTGTAGAAGGTTTAGTAACAAAGAAAAAGGCATGGGATCTGATAGCCAAAAAGGCAACAGAAGTGAGTGGGGTTGTGATTGGTGGTGAACAGTGCTGTAATAAATGGAAGAAAATTGAAAAAAAATACAGAGAAGTTAAAGAAAACCAGGGAAAGCCAGTTGAAGATAAAAACATTAGAATAGATGAAGACTTCTGTGAAGAAATGGAAGAAATTATGGAAAATGAAGCAAAAATGCCCCGTCTTTGTAAAAAAACAAATCAACCGTCCACAAGCCAGGCGTCAGATGAGTCTGAAGATGAAGACTCTAACTTCACTGTTGATGAATCATGTGAATACAGTCTTTCAGCTTTAGCTAACTCCAAAAGGAAAAGGAAGCGTACTACTGCAACCGAAATCGTTCAAGCTTTGGAAATGTTCAGGAAAGAAAGAAAAAAAGATGAAGAGGATAGAATGAAAAGACTAGAACAAATGCATAAAGAAAGAATGCAACTATTGGAGAAATTAGTAACTGCCATTACAAAAACATAAAAGATAAACATGTCTTGTAAAAAAAAATTATTTTCAAGCTGAATACTGAAACATTTGTCCTTTTCATGTATTAAAGATGATGTAAGATTATTTGTTACTTCTCTTTAATTTTGTATCCAGTTTGCTAGCCAGAAGAAAAAACTACATAGTCATTATGAGTTATCCATTAAAACTTTGCTTAGTACGAGTTATCACTGAAGCATTAAATAATTTTATTAATTTAAAATATTGCTAGCATCAAGAAATAACTATGTCTTTACCAAATTTAGCTGTAACTGTATTGCACCTTTCTTTTTACGGTAAGGACAAATAATTCGGTTATTGAGATGATTTGGTGAAAACTGTAATAACTTGTTTTACATTCCAGAATTTGACAAAATAATAACTTCTGGAAGTTTCATTTCTCTTAAGTATTAAAACAAGCTATTTATATCAAACTCCAACCATCTCTTGCCTCACCTGACTGTGGAACTTATCAATGCTAATTTAGGTATATCAACATCTCTGTGCCAATTACAGGTCGGCCCATTTTGGGAAGAGTGTGAACTTTGTTGTATTTGAAAATGTAAACATTTTGGTTTCTTTATTTTTATTTAAAAATATATATCAAAAATTGCATCAACACTTTATAAGTGTACATAAAACACTTCTTTGAAAGGTTCTTCAACACTAGCTTGCAGGCTTATTTTTTTGGCAAACTTGCTTGTAAGTTTAGGAAACTTGTGATTGTGGGCAATATGTTTTCAATGGGGAACACAATTAGTACCATAGGAAAAAAGCAAGTAATGGACTACATCAGTGGAGGTATTTTGTGTTTTGCTCATGTTAGATATAAATTAACTTGTTAGATGAATACCCAGCGATTGTTTGAATGCTTCACACAACTTTAAAACTGGCTCTACTTGTTAAAATGTAATTAACTGATCTCTTGAAGTCTGTCAACCTACCTACAACATCTAAGTGACAGAACAATAATGAAAAACATTAATAACTTCAGTCATCCTTTCTCTCTTAAGGCTAAATAATTTTTTCATAGAATTTCTGTAAAATTTTCAACTGACTATGCATTTTATAATGTTTGGAAAAGGTTTAGCCAGATAAGATAGAAAGAAATGTATGGTACTTCTATACTACCATAACACCTAGAACAAATGCATAAAAAAAGAATGCAACTATTAGAGAAATTAGTAACTGCCATTACAAAAAGATAAACATGCCTTGTAAAAAAAATTTATTTTCAAATTTAATCCTGAAACAGGGCTATATGCACTAACTGTCCCCAATTTAGCAGTGAAAGACTAGGGAAGGCAGCTTGTCATCACCATCCACTTCCAACTCTTGGGCTACTCTTTTTTTTTTCCTGACAAAATAATAACTTCTGGAAGTTTTATTTCTCTTACAAATACACACACATCCCAGGTGGTTAGGGTGCAGGTTTGAATCCCCATCCCACCAAAGCACGTTTACCCTTTCAGCTGTGTGTGTGTGGTGGGAGGGCATTATAATGTGATGGTCAATCCCAGTATTTTTTGGTAAAAGAGTTGGCAGTGGGTGGTGATGACTAACTGCCTTTCGCTAAAATGGGGACAGCTAGTGCAGATAGCCCTCATGTAGCTTTGCATGAAATTCAAAACAAAACCTTTTCTGCAGATATCAAGTATATCCTTTCTTCTGCCATAGTATATACATTACTTGTTAGATGAAAAACTTTATATTATGCACTCCTTAACTTGTGTGTAGTCCCAGTTGTGTATAACATTTGTCTCATTTACATACAAACTCCATGTGGTTATATCATTCCATTTGAAAAAAGTTGAAAGGTGTTGACTTATTTAAAGATTTTGAACATGATTAGCTTGAGCAAGTACTTTATGCCAGCTTTATTTTAGACAAATGTGTAAAATAATAAAATATTAACATTAATTCTCTTAAGCTCTATCCATACTGCATTATCTGGAATTTATTACCATGTTACAGATAGGGTGGGCACCACTTTTCATTGTTCAATAACATTCATTTACTACCTCAAAGCCATCTAAAGCAAGGTCCTAGTTATCAAAGAAATAATGACATTTCTTATGCTCATTCTTCTGATTTGTGACATTGTGCAATTTCAAGTACAAAGATGTTGACTCAGTTTATGAGAATTTCACTGAAGCCAGTTATAAGTAGTTGTTTGTTTGTTGACTAGGAAAGCCACGTCATTCCAGGTGGTGATCTTACCTCATAATTATCCCCTTTTAATACAGATTCAATACTAAACTTCCTAGCCTGATAATATAGACATTTTTAGTAAAGTTATCATGATTCGATGACGAGGAACCCACTTTGAGACTAATATTGGCTGGAGACGGCTTGAATGGGTAATGAAGAAAACTTATATAAGTTAACTATAACA